ATCATCTTATTGTTCTCCAACATAATGAGCTTTTTTTTTTTTTTTACAAAAAAACATTAATGGACGTTTTGGTGATGAGTTTACCTTTCAGGTATTAAAGTCATAAAATTACTTCCATAAGACATTTCAAAGAATAGTTAATGAGGAATACTAACACAATGTGATTAGATTGTGAAAAGTGAGAATGCTTTTATTATTTATTTGTTTATTGGCTTGGGAAAAACATGATCCGAAGAGTCATTCACAATTAACTTGGCAACTACTCTTAAGAAACTAAACATGTTGAAATAATTTTTACTTTAAATTTAGAAAAGAAAACTAATATACATATAGTTTGGGATCAGTACAATTATTTGATGCTTTTAAAAGAAAATTACAATTTATTTGACAAAAAACAGTAATAATATTACAGTATAAATATTATTATAGCTGTTTTCGATTTAAACATATTTTTTTAAAAATTAAGCAAAGCTGAATTTTCAGCAGCCATTACTCCAGTCTTCAGTGTCACACTTACTACAACATTTTTTTTGTAACATTATAAATACCTTTATTGTCATTTTTGTTTAGTTTAATGCATCCTTGCTGAATAAAAGTATTCTTAAAAAAGACATCAACATTTTAAAAAGTAGTGTACAGTATATTAAACCATGTCCAAATCAGGTGCAACATTATTAAAGTGATGCACAAGTGTCAGGACAAAATTTTGTCAATCATTCTTTCTTTGACAATGCACCGACAAGTACCGCCCACTTTAAATATGTTCATCAAACATATTCTGATTGGCTGTGATTGTTTCACAGCATTCTGCATTTTCACAATCAGTGTGGAAAGACAAATTGCTGCTTGTTGTTTGCCTGGTTTGGACACTGAAAAACATGGTTATTGATAAACACCAGCCAGAAGAATAAATCTATGAATTTCTAAGCAAAACTGCTGATTTTCACCTCTTCGTTTTGTTTCAGTTCATGAACCCAAAGTTCTGCTGACCGGATATCAGTCTCTTTGAATGATGACAAGTTTTACCATTTCTTTTGAACTCATTTAAGTCAAAGAAAAACAGTTCAAACAATGTATTGGAATTAACTGCCTTAAATATTTGTACAAAAATAAGGTACTGTCCTTAAAGTCTTAAAATACAACAGAGTGAAAGTCACTGACCACATTCTACTTCGAATCTGAGGATCAAAATGCCTAAAGGTTTCAGTTCATGAACCCAAAGTTCTGCTGACCGGATATCAGTCTCTTTGAATGATGACAAGTTTTACCATTTCTTTTGAACTCATTTAAGTCAAAGAAAAACAGTTCAAACAATGTATTGGAATTAACTGCCTTAAATATTTGTACAAAAATAAGGTACTGTCCTTAAAGTCTTAAAATACAACAGAGTGAAAGACACTGACCACATTCTACTTCGAATCTGAGGATCAAAATGCCTAAAGTTTTTTTTTTTTTTGAAGAGTTGAGAACTTCAAGTCCTGTTTGATGTGATATTTTAGGAAGACCTTCAGTGTTTGGTGTTCTCTATTCTGTGTCTCTCTTCCTACAGACAGTTACATTTAATCAGAACACTTTCATAATCAAGTCAGACGCCCCACGGCATGGTTCCCTCATTTTACTAAGCATTCACAGGAAAACATTTAGTCGAGTTAAAACAGACTTATTAATATAAAATTCTGCAAACTGAGAGAGTCTGAAATTGATAAAACACATGAAAGATGGGCCATTCAAATTTCTGTTAAGACAAATTAATTTTAGGATGTGTCTTTTCACACTACAGTTTTTGCCGCAAACCCTTGTCTTCATGGACAGTTCATGTAAGGTTTGAAACTGATATGAAAGAACTTCAAAAATGAATCACAATTCATTACATATACTGTGTGTTGCCAATTATAAAATTATGCATTTCTCAGTGCTGCTTGCATTCGGTACATTTATTGCAATGCATTGGTGCCAAACCGACACAAGTGTTGTTTTTTTTTGTGCATCTAAAATTTTGGCAGTAAAAAAAAAACATCAACAAAAAAATAAAAACACAAATAAAACAGCAAAACTGGCATCTTCTTCTCACAGTCCCTTGCTACAGTGGTAAACAGCTGCCGCTAGAATTCCCAGCGGTATGCACATTGATGATGAAATTGTAACGCGGTTCAGAACCAAATATTACAGTGTGACAGGCGTCATCTAACCAAACAAACCAAAAGTCAAAAACAGCCTTAAATGCAATAGTCATCTCATTAAAAAACAAGTGCATGAAATTAGATGCGGGGGCCAAAATGTCCGAGACAACTAGCAAAAATGCTTTCATTTAAAAAAAAAAATAATAAAATAATATATGATTATGAAGTAAATTGTAATAAACCCGATGAGTAAAGTTTGTGAACAAACTTTGAAGTTGGTTTGAGAAAGCCTAGCCTGAAAGTTTGAGGCAATTGTAAATGCTTGAAGTTTAGATAGACAGATTAGATAGGTGTTGATAACATGTGGCTAGCATGATTTAGCACATTGCTAACATAATTTAACACGTTGCTAACATAGGGTGACCAAACGTCCACTTTTTCCCTGACACGTCCTGGCCAGGATTATATTGCCTAAAATGTCTAGGTTTTCATACTTGCTGAAGGCAAAGATCAAAGAATAGCATCGCTTTGACCATTCTCTGTAGATCCCACCTTCTTGCGTGCCACGACTGGTCGATTAGGTACAATGCCTGAATGTTATTGGTCAAACTACTTTTTGATCATTACCTTCAGCAAATATGGAAACAGGAAAACAAAGCCAAAACCTGGACATTTTAGGCAATATAGAAATCATGGCCAAGACATGTCCGGAAAAAGCGGACGTATGGTCACCCTATGCTAGCAACATGTTAAATCATGTTGTGCTAAATCATGCTAGCAACATGTTATCAACACCTATCTAATCTATCTATTAGGACCCAAGCTAGCATGTTTTTAGAATGAATAGCATGTTGCTAACATGTTGCTAGCATGTTTCTAAAATGATTAGTATATTTGCTAGCATGTTGCTAATCATGTTTCTAGTATGTTGTTAGCATGTTGCTAGCATGTTTTTAGCACAAATAGCATGTTGCTAGCATGTTTCTAACATGATTAACCTTAACTAGCCTTAAGCATGATTAGCATGATGACATTTTGTTAACATGTTTCTAGCATGATTAGTATGTTGCTGTTTTTAACATGATTAGCATGTTGCTGACATTTTTCTAGCATGATTAGCATGTTGCGAGCATGTTTCTAACATGATTAACCTTAACTAGCCTTAAGCATGATTAGCATGCTGACATTTTGTTAACATGTTTCTAGCATGATTAGTATGTTGCTATGATGTTTTTAACATGATTAGCATGTTGTTAGCATGTTGCTGACATTTTTCTAGCATGATTAGCATGTTGCGAGCATGTTTTTAACACGATCAGCATGTTGTTGACGTGTTTCAGCATGATTAGCATGTTGTTGACGTGTTTTAGCATGATTTACCATGTTGTTCTAGGATAGTCATTAACTCAACGTTCCTTTGTTACTAGTTCTAAAGTGACATTTTCGAATTAGTAATGGAGGCTTGGGCTCAGCTGCTAAACTGTCAAACTGAGATCTGAATCCGTTGCGGAAGGAAGTAGTTCTGCACAAAAGAGGGTTTTTAAAGACACTCTGTTGTTGTCTTTTTTATTTACACACTTGTGCCGTCAAACTGTTGTATAAACACAGTATCACACTCGTAGCAGTGCGATATGGCTGTATATCAGCATGCTGTGATATATCACAGCCATATGGTACTGCCACTCGTGCGATATTGCTCATATAAAGTATATTATCAGAAAAAAGTAAATAAATTTTTACATGACTTTGAGAAAATTTTGCCTCCACTGAAGCTAGAAAAAATGACCATCTGTACAAAAGAGTCATTTCACTAGTTACATTTAAGACTTAAATACAGTGCAGAAATAACAGAGTTAGTGTTGTAAAATTCATCAATTTTAGGGAAAAAAATAAATCAATTTGAGCTGTAAAGTACGCCAAATACCGTTTTTTAACTCTGAGCTGAAAACAGGCTCAGAGCTTTTAACATTTCATCGTTAAAATTTTTATCTCACATTTTTAAAGTGGTCAGACTTGTGGACGCCACAGTAGACAGTCTCATACATCACAATGGAAACGCTGGCTGTCTAACTTCAGCAACTTTAGAGTCACACAAAAAGGTGCACTTGAAGATCCTCATCAATTGTGTCTCATCTCAAGGATTCATTTCAGCCCTGAACCTTTCACAGGCTGGTCAAAGTACAATAAAGTGTCATTTGTTGTGGCCCACAGCTACAGAACTCTATGAACAACAAAAAAAATTGTAGTTAAAGCTCCGTAGTCTTGAGAGTTGAAGTTTCTACAGTTCATGTAAGGTCACTAAAGCAATTTCCTTTGTTTGTTTCTGGACGATTTGGTATCTTGCTGTGCACAGTCGATGTCGCTAGTTACAAGCAAAATCTAAATAAATACAGTGCATACATGCATAAAATATGAGGCTCTGATAAATAAGGCTCTGATGTGAGGATTTAAGCTCCAAGCATGATCTCAGTTACCCTAGAGACCTAAAGTCCAAACCATTTCAGAAGTTCTGATCCTGCTGGGCCGCACTGAATGTTCAGCAAAACGACTCAAGAGGCGGTCTGCAAAAAGTCGCTGCATTTTGATTTTAGAAACCCATTAAGACTAAAGGATTTCTGGCATTGTTGCAGAAACATACACAAATGCACATTTCATTTGTGGTTACTGCGCCTATTCAATTACAGGAAAAGCGATTCTCAGAAATTAAAAGAAAGAAATTTTTTTACCTCTCAATTTCCGTTTTTTTCCCCCCTCACTAAAAGGGTTCTTTTCACAGCGGCACATGTATGTTCTGTTCAATAGCAGCATAGGGTCTGCTATCAATAAGCCTTGACGTTCACTTATATTCATTTGCGGTCAGGTTGAAAGTGTATTTCTTACCAAACTCTCCTGGCACTGAGATCTCATACACACAGGACTGGCCCGCGGTGTAGTTGCGAGGGTAGTTTGGGGACAAAATAGTGCCCTCTGAACCCGTCAACCGGCTTCCACATGGAGCTGGAAGAAACAAACGAAGGTTAAATGCAGTGTGAATGCATGTACATATCCAAAACACACCCAAACATAACGTTAATGGTGGACTAAATAATTTATTGCTTGTTTTACAGACCAGTTAACATATGGATCAGTCTTTCATTCTTGTTTCAATGTGTTTTAAAATTCAAACTAACCAGACTCTTTTAAAAACACAACATGTATGGTGCAAAAACATGTATGTATATGTGTGCATGCGTGTGTGTGTGTGTGTGTGTGTGTGTGTGTGTAATTCAATTAAATATTAGATTAAATACTTAAATTGTTGCATAGAAGTTGAAGCACTAAAATTACTATAAAGAAAAATAAAAGCTAAACAGAAATATAAAAAACACTTTGCACAAAATTACTAAAACTAAAAACTGAAAATATAAAAATTCAAAATAATAAATACTTTAATAGTATATAAATACTAATACTACATATTATACTAATACTAAACTATATAAATACTAATAATACTAAAATAACACTAATGTGATGCATTGTTTGCTGCAATTGTTTAAATTGTTTAAATGTGTTTTCAACTATTTACTGATTTAATTATTTTTGTCGTACATATACTGTGCCACAATTTTAGAGAAAATGTTTCTTTATTTGACCCAAAGTTGGGTTGAAACAACCCAGCATTTTTTAGAGTGTAAAATTAGGATGATCAAGTGTCCTATATGTAATTACATTATAGCTGAATAATATTGCAACATTTAAACTCTTATAAAAGTTCTTGAAATAAACATTATTTAGTGCCATACCACCTTGTAAAGAATGCTCATGTTAATAAAAAATATATACTTTCTTCTGACACTTCATTTAAAAACATGTGGCATAAATGAAAAATTTATTTTTGCCTTGGGGCCAAAACTATTTTTTTTATTTTTTTTTACAGATGAGTCCCACTTTAAGGCACCGATAGGAGACTCCATCTCATGCAAGTCTATTTTTTTTTTTAAACAAATCTGTCAAAAATAACAAGTATATAAATAAAATAAAGTCAAACTGTGCTTTGTGGAAAGTGGAAAAAATTTGTCCACCTTTAACTGGAGGCTCATTTGAGGAGAAACTCTGTACCTGAACCATGTTTAACAAAGGCAACATACAGCAAGGTGTAAATCTATATAATGTGGCACAATATGACAGCTGTGGAAAGAGTGCTAGAGTTATAGCGAGCATTGTCAACAGCGCTCAGTCATTCATCAACCAGCTAGAACAGAATTATAGGCCTGACAATAATACTTTTCAATCTCATACTCTAAAATACAACCTATACAGTCTTAAGACACAGTCTTTATGCAATCATCGATTAGAGGGCTGTTTGAATTATTTCTTCACAATAAGCGAAACAATTTAGCATAATGCAAGAGAAATGGGCAAAAATTATTGCGGCAAAAGGGGGATAAAAAGTGATTAGGATCTAATGGAGCAGGCAGAAGGTTTCATCCAGGCATACGAGTCCGCAAAATATAAATCGTTCTTTCGAGTGACATTTATAGCCTTTGACTTACACAAGTGGGAAAACTGCTGCCCCGTTTGCATTATTTGATGTGAAATTCAAAGTCTCAGTGTGGGTTTATTATTGCTGATCCCACAATATTCTGTGGTGAAATATTAATTTCAGAGGATTAGCAAACAAGACGCGGTGACAGAGTCAATACATCAGAGCGCTGAAATCATTCACTCCTGAGTCGAAGAACATCATCATTTGTGACTCAAGTTATAATTGTTCATCTCTGCAGATGACAAGAAAAGTGTTTACAATGTTTCATGTCAATTTAAACATCTCCCAGTTTCACAAATCTATAAATGTAGACTGCGTCTCAAAGGAAGAAGTATACACATGCAGTGTACATCTCATACAATGACTTCCAAAGGGTGCTGATTTCTTTCCAAAAGTGCCTATATTATTGAGATCCATCTTTTCACACTGATGACACTTGAGGGATTCATACACAACTACTACAAAAGCTTCAAACGTTCACTGATGCTCAAGGCGGCAACATGATTGGCCGCATTAAAGATCTGGGGGTGAAAACTTTTGAGAAGGATGATGATGTGTAAATTTTGCCTAAACATCTTATTTCATTCAGTACTGTCCTTCAGAAATTATTTAAATGTTTCCCAGAAGACAAAACAAGTACTATTTACCCTGATCATTCAGTTCCAAAAGTGCTCTTATAGTTCCTCAATTGTCCTCAGTGTGAAAACATGGATGTCAAAATCATACATTGGGTCAAATATGCAGATGTTGCTGGAAAATTACATAATGTGCAGGATCTGTAGGATTTTTCTCAAGAACAGTGGGCAGTTCAACTGCTCAGAACAAATAACTACTGTATCACAAAACACAGAAACCGATCATCCAGGTAAATACACACATTAAGAAACAAGTGTACATAAACTTTTGAATGGGGTCATTTGTGTAAATTCAGGCATTATTTTGTCTTGTGGACTATATGTATGCATGACATCTGTTATGTGTAATAGCTTATTCAAATACGTACTACAGTAAATGGGAGGGAAACAATGCATTTGTGTTCTAATTTCATTAAAATTACAAACATTTTGCAGAAATATAAACGCACTGAATATATGATATCTAACCTAACTTGATCATTTCAGTCTTTTGAATACACTGTAGCTCTCAATATTTACAAAAGCCAATTAGCCAATCGCATGCAAGAAGCAAAACACAGTAAAAAAAGACCGTTATCAAATTACCAAGGCATGTTTTAAACACTTTTTATATCTGGAAGAATAATATTTGATTATTTTCATTTATATACATCAATCAGTGTTATTTTAGTATAATTGTGATATTACTATAATTTTATTAACAGTTGAAATCGTTTTTATTTCTATTTAGTATTTTCATTTGAATTTTCTGTCCTAACTGACATGAGAGAAAACGATAGTAAAACTAGTCTGATGATCACTCGCACTTCTGGAAACCTGATGGCCAAATAAAAAGCACTTTAACAATGTTGTCAAATCACTGCGACTATATTGTAAAGATCCAATAAATCGCACAGCTCTACATAAAGCCAGATCATAAGTATATTTCGTCCTGACTTCCATTGTGAAGGATCAATCCTATCAAACTCCCCCATAATTCACACTCTGCACACATGCACATGTACACCGTGTCCCCGCCGTCTCCAGAGGCACAAGTAAGCCACAGCGCATAATCCAGCCTCTCTTCACACCGTGAGCTGGTCTCACAGCTGGAGGAAGTGTAAAAGAGAGCCGTCAGATGCCCCATCAAGCCCTTGTGGGTTTGTGCGCACATGTGGCAGGGTGACACAGTCCGTACACGAGACCCCAGCACAAACACATCCATTATTAATCAATGCTTTCCAGGTGGAAGAGCACAAGCCTGAAACAACACCTATGAAGAGAGTGGCAGGAATGAAGAGTGTTGTGACCGCTGTCTCATCCTCCATGACAAACACAGAGAGCAGAGTAATTGGCAGGAGTCGGATCTAGACATAGACTAGCACTTGAGACCTAAAAACAGAAAAATGTGTAACTAGTGTTGAGGCACAACTAACTGAATGTTAGTTTTACTTATACTTCTGTAATCTGACAAATATGAATGTGTAATAGGATATTCCATAGGAAAAAGTTATTGGGAATCAGTCTCTTAAGCTCACCAAGGCTGCATTTATTTAATCAAAAAATACAATAAAACATGAAATAATATTACCTTCTGAACAAACTGCTTTCTATTTGAATATCTTTAAAATGTAATTTATTCTTGTGATGCAAAGCTGAATTTTCAGCATCATTAATCCAGTCCTCAGGGCCACATGATCCTTCAGAAATCATTCTAATATGCTGACTTGCTGTTAAAATTTCTAATCAAATACTATTGGTGTTCAATTATTAAATAAGGTTTTTTTTATTATTATCAATGTTTTTGCTGCTTAATCTTTTTGTGGAAGTATTTTTCAGGATTCTTTGATGAATAAAAGTTCAAAAGAACAGCATTTATTTGAAATAAAAATATTTTGTAATATTACAAATGTTTTTTTACAGTCACTTTTGATCAATTTATTGCATCCTTGCTGAATTAAAGTATTAATCTAGTTAAAAAAGAAAAAAACAAATTTAATTGTTTTTAATTATTTTGCAATAATGCTGTTTTAGGTTTTTTTTTTTTTTTATAACTTTCAAAACATTAAAAAATCTTGGTCACACTTTATTTTAAGGTCCAATTTTTGCTATTAGCAAACCATTAACTATGACTTTTGCCTCAAACTACTAATTTTCTGCTTAATTAATAGTTAGTAAAGTACCGTATTATCCCGAATATAAGACGATATTTTTTTCTTGGAAATACATCTGAAAAAACGCAGTCGTCTTATATTCAGGGTCTAGACTTTGACATGTCAATAATACACCCACAACAATAGGTGGCGCCAAATACGCATAAAACGGGTGTGCCATGAAATACGTAATGTAATGCGTGTTGTAAAGAGCGCAAGTAAAAACAAAAGAAGCAGAAAACCTTAAAGCTGCATGAGTCGTGACTGTCACGTTAGCATGATGGCACCAAACTCCCTTTGTGATTTTAAAACGTAAGTTACAATCATCCGGGTTTAAATAGCGCACAAATTTGGTATATCAAAAAGTGTATATTTTTTAAATGTGATTGTTGGTACATTTTACCAGTTTTTACCATACTTTCAAAACAAAAATTAAAATAGGAAAAATATGCAATATGAAAATAATTGAAGACAAAAAGTGTTTTACTGAGAAAAAACAAGATTTGGTTTTTAAAAAGCCTTTTTCCAAAAGGTACATCTGGAAAAAGGGGGGGTCGTCTTATAATCAGGGTCGTCTTATATTCGGGCCAATACGGTAGTTGTTAGATTTACAGTAGGTATTGGGTAGGATATGGTCATGCAGAATATGTGCTTTATAAGCACTAATAAACAGCCAATATGTTAATAACAGGCATGCTAATAAGCAACTAGTTAATAGTGAGAACTGGTCCCTATACTAAAGCGTTACCAAAATATTAAATACGTGTATATACCAGAATGGAGTCATGGAGTTTTATTCAACATTTACAAAGAAAAACTGTGATTATCAGACCATGAGCATGTATTAAAACAGCAAACAGAGTTAATATTGATGAAACCGTCCACTGAGATCTGAATCCACTGAACATGATCTGCCTGATAAGTCAGCAACTTGGTAACACAGCTCTTGCTAAAGTAAAACTTTCGTCTTCAGTCCAACTCTCCCAGGCATAGCTAAAAACATCAGAAAATATGCTGAATATAAAGTCTTTCCATAACATTTGCACTGTCTCTTAGGAGATGTGGGGAGCGATGCTTTATATCAGCAGCTCTGTGAAGATCATTTGCAAAATAGCGCAGAACAATGAGCCATTACTGAATCATTGAGTTGTTACCCGCTGCACTGTAACCAAAAACCATTGCTTTTGTTCCAGCGGACTGGCGGCTCATTCCATATGATGCATTTCCAACACAAACTCGTCCAAAGAGGGTTAGCAAGGCCAGCCATGCATGCATGCAGAAAAAAACTCAGAAATCAATAGACCAGCCTTCAGTCCAGATCTGTGCGGTATCAATTCAAGGCTGTGTCAGACGCCTCATGCACAAACATGTGAAACTTCTGTTCCATTTCTTTGTCATTCATTTCTCTACCATCCACTTGTGTCCTCTATAAAATACATGGATACAAAGACCTCTCAACTACATTTCTGTTTGCACAGAGAACAAATACTGGACTTTGACTGATTCATTGTTATCTCTACCAGACTTCTCAACTAGCTTAAAGGCCCGTTTACACCAAGAACGATAACTATAAAGATAATGATAAAGATATAGTTCTAAAAGTCGTTCTCAATATTAAAGAATAGCCACACCACAACTATAACGATAAAGGCACAGAGAAACAATATTGTTGGAATCACGATTTTTTTTTCCAGCTGATGAAAGATAACATTGACAGCCAATCAGAATCAATCCTGCTGTAACAAACTCAAGAATTTAATCTGGCAGATGAGTGTGCACTTAGAATAAACGGACGATATCGTCCACTGGTGTGGGCGCTAATATAGTAATCGTTACAGTTATCTCAATAGTTATCGTTCTTAGTGGAACGGGCCTTAAGCCTATAGCAATCGTCCCTTGGGCAGCCATCTTCATCAGAAAGACCTTACACCACTTACAATCAGTGTTGGGGAGTAACTAGTTACATGTAACGGAATTACGTAATTTAATTACAAAATAAAAGTAATTGTAATCAGTTACAGTTACTAAGAAAAAATGTGTAATTAAATTACAGTTACTTATGAAAATGTTAAGGATTACAAAGAGGGGTTATATCTGATTTTTTCACACACACTCCCACATACAGATTTAATTGAGTTATTTCATAAATTGCAGTGACTGCTCTAAAATATGAGACACCAATGTTTCAGAAGTTTATAACATGCTTATATGCTTTATTTTTTTAAGATCAACTGTTTTTTTTTCTAAGGCATTGTTAGATTGCAGTGTTTCCTGTCATAGCTATGCAAAGATTTCAAAAACAGTATCATAGCTTTTAAACTATTTCTTGTTATGATTTTAAATATGTATTTAACCTCTTTAAAATTTTAATATTATAATCTTAATTCAAGTGATGAACGATTTCGAAAGTCTGACAGTTATCAGTGTTGAGCACATATTGTAAGTTTAACCCTGCCTGGTTTACATGTTTGAAAATGATTAACATTTGAAAACTAAGTTGAAAAGTAATCAAAAAGTAATCAGTTACATTACTTTAATAAAGTAATTGAAAAGTTACACGACTTATTACATTTTAAGTAGGGTAACGAATTACAACTATTCACATTACTGTAATTAAGTAGTTTTTTCGGGTACTTGTACTTTTTTGAGTATATTTTTAAAGCTGTACTTTTACTTATACTTAAGTACAAATTAAGCAAAATAATCTACTTTGTTATTTTTAAATCATAGTTCGTTACAGAGTACGCCCACAATTTGAACTAATATTCAAACCTTTGACGGCACTTCAGTAGCCAATAAAGATATCCGACCGTAAACGGGCCAATAGAAGCCCTGATATCTGAACCGGGAAAAGCCGGCGCTGCAGCAGGTTTGGAAGAGCTGACCAGAGAGTGAGGGGGCTCAGCGTAATTTATGGACTCAAAGTTTGGAGAAACAAACTACATGGTAGTGTTATCATAAATATCTATATTTTGATACCGATACTGAAATATCTGACACGGTTCCATTACTCATTTTCCACAGTATCTACCGAATATACACC